AGGGAATGGGACTTTCAGCATAATCTGGTGTTTGAAGGGCTAGGATCTGATCTTTTTTGATTTAGGTCCACATGTAAGTATTTGATGTTTCAGTTCAGGGTTATTTTTAAAGGAAAGTATTACTAAACATTAATTTAATTATTTGCATCTAGTACTGAAAGGTATATTGGGAAACTTTGGAGTCTGTAAATTATGTTTGGGTTTGATGCACCAAAATTTTCAGAGGAAGAAGTTCCTTAAGTTTCAGCAGCAAACACTTTGCATACTTAAAAGGATGTGTCTTCTGTGGACTAGTTCAATATTTTATGTAATATATGTGATTTATAACCTTTTTTTTTCCTAATTCTCAAAATGCAGGCAATACTTTTTTGAAGGTGTGTCTTTTGTCATTATTTTTGTTTTGTTTCCTTTTTCAGCATCCTTTTATCGTTCCAATAGCTTGTATAATATTCTGATGTGCTATGTTCTGCAATGTGTGAAATGCACAGATTAGTTTGTTTGAACCAGTACGTATCATCCTTTATTTTAATTATGACTTCCATTCTCAAACCAGCTACGTTTTGTTAAACACGCTTGGACATTTTCAAGTGTTTTCTCTTAGAATTTTAGTGAGATTTCCTATAGAAGCAAAGTTTATGTGGCCAAGGTTTCTGCCTGATTTTTTTTCTTAAGTCTTTCACCCATGCCCTCTGAATCCTTTAGCCATTTTAATCCAAATTTGACGGAAAGATAGCCGTATTAAGTTCACAGAAATTGGTGATCAAGACTGAGGACCAGGATGGACTGAAAGTTCTTCCACCACTGAGCAAATGGTGAGGCGAGCTCAGTCAATATGTGTTCAGTTTAGCAGTGTCCAGGCAGCCAGTAAGATGCATTTAGCTTTTGACTAATGAAGCACGTTCTTTTCCTTAATAATCATAGTTCTTGAAATTTCCTGTCAGTTTATGTAAAAATTAAAACATAGGGGAAAAATATGTATTCAAAGTAAAAGCAGTTCTTATGCAAAAATCCTGTAGTTTCATGTGAAAGTTATTTTCTTACAAAGTGGGGATTAGGACTTCTATCTCAGAGACTGTCTGAAATTTTTCTAGGTGGGGGTAAGATGTTAGACTAATTCTATCTTTTGAGGCCAGAAACAGAGAACCAAGCATCCTAACTCCACATATCCACCAGTAAATGTATGAAAATTAGAGGAGCTCATGAAAATACAAACCGACCCCAACATGGTTATCCCATTTTTTCAGTGAGTATATTTTAAACCCATTTTGAAAAGTCCACCGGAATTGATTTATAATGCGATAATCTTTCCTTTTATGTGCTATCTATATTCTAAATTGTGACTTCTGGTAGTTACATTTATAGTCTGGTACATATTTGCACTACTATAATCATACTATTGTTTATTTTCCAGAAAAACTATTCATTTGAAAATAGGCTCTACTTATATAAGATCACCAAAAGACCTAATTGTGTACAATCTTACCTTACAACAGTGTGTATTTATGTATACATACACTGACTTAAACACATAAAAACGAAAGTTATTTATGTTTATTCTTTAGAGTTCCAGAAAACTGTTTTATACAGCTGCTTCAGGAAAGGATACTGACAATACCAGTGGTTCCTATGCATTGTAGTACAGCCTAAAGTGTGACAGATCTGCATAGTTTTGGGTTTATATAGGTTTACAGGCTACTGATAGACATCTGATGTGAAAATGTTTAAATGTGCATATATGGTATGGGTTTCAATTAGAACAGTGATTTGTTTTAGAAAGGTATTTTTTGACATTTCTTTTAAGATTCAGATATTGCACTACTGTATAGGGTAGTATGGATTTGCTATTAGAAGAAGCTGTACATCTGGTTCACTTAAACATTTTGATTCCTTTATCCAAAAGGTTGTAAATGATATATGGCTTAGTGTAATTGCTAACTAAAAGTGCTGTATTAGTTTCAAAGTTACAAGGAACGATGTTTTTCAAGACTAATGACAATGTTGATGAACTCCAGATTTAATGATAATACAATCTGTCTTTTGCTCCTCTTAGTAAATTTTTGAAGTAAGATTCAAGTCTGAAGACTTTGCACGCAGAGTTTTGTGTGCTTCTAACAGTGCTTATTTGCAAGGATTAGCATAAGATGTTTGCTCTCATGCATGCACACACACCCATAGACAAAATCATCCCTTGTTATTGGTGTTGGATAAACGTCTGTTGATATGACTAATCCTAACAGTTCAGATACTTATCTGGAATTGACGAAAACTGTCCAAATCCATGTACTGTGCATGTACTAAGTGGGAAAATCTCAGTCACAGTTTCTCAAACTGTTTCAGCATTTTAATACCAGAAGCTTGAAGGATAGGGAGTATGTTCCTATTTGCTTAGTGATAGTTCTTTAGTTTCATAATGCTTACTGTTTCAGAATATTCATTCCAGTGAATTGTGATTATTATTATATTTTTTAATTAGGGTTAGTCTCTTTTACATGAGTATCTGTATTTTTGTAAATACATATCTATATGTATAAATGTATTTTGGATTGTTTTTATTCAGTAAATACTATTGCAGTTAGATGTACTGAATGTTTCCCCAAAAATATGCAGCCCTTGTCAGCTGAGTAACTCTCGCTGTAGCTAGAAGGATTCCTATCCGCTTTTGATCACTTGAAACTAGGGAAAGGTCTGTGTTGTGAAACACTTGGTGGGTATAAAGACCTTGATTCATAAGTCCTTGAACTGCACTTTTAGGAGACACAATGTAGTTATTCCTCAGCATGGCTAAATGCAAAAGCTAACCTCAGGGGCAAAGTAGAGGAGTCAGTCCCTAGGGCTTTAATACGGTGAGCCAAAGTAAGATTAGCCTTGTGCATCTCTTCTGTTCTTTAAAAGGTGTGCAAGCTTAAAGGATGGGCAGGGCAAAGAGTAGGTATGCGTGAAATAGTCTTACTGGGGAATTTTGGCAGAAGTGAGGGTCTTTCTTAAGCAATCTTTTTCTGCTATTTTTTTTTCCTCTTTCCTCTTCCTTTTCTAAGTGTCACAATAGTGGACACCATTTGAATGACACTTACTAGCATTTCCCCTTGTGCTTTTCTCCCTACTGCTTTTGAATGAAAGGTTTGACTTCTAAAAAAATTCTTTTGTGTTTTCTTTTTTCTGTTTTTTTTTTTTAGTTCTTTTTAAAATGCATAAACTGAATTTTAAGGTTAAGTTTAGAGTACGTCCAGCAACCACAATGCATTATTAGTAATATTTTGATAATAATATGTACTGGAAATGTGATTGAAAGAAAGCTATCATATCACAAAACGTCAGCTAACCAAATTAGAATATTACATGTTAGAAAAAATATATCTTATGCAGTCTGAACTGATACAATTTGTGGCAGTTTAGAAAAATTCTGAATAAGAAAAATTAGACACACAATTGGACTTCAATCACAAAGATATAATATACCTTTCAAGAAAATATTCTGGTAATAGTGGAGATTAATGAAATTATGCTAAGCATTGCTTAACTACACAACATTAAACACAAAACTAAACATTTTCTAAAATTGAGACATTGTTTCAGTCACCAATTCCAGTAGTAAAAAAAATTGAGTTAGCTTTAAAAATATAAGGAGACTGAGATTAAAAAATAATGAAGTTTGATTATTTTTGTTTTGCTATTTTAATTTTAAGCCTTTTGTGTAATTCCAAGGACTAGAAAAGTTTTTATTTTAAGTGAGAATTAAGATTTTTTTTATATAATAGCATGACTCAGACCTGCTGATTTGAGCAGAATATCAAAATCATGATATACTTAAGAATGGATGATGCTTCAGTTTTGTTCATAATAGTCTAAATAATAAAATTAAAATGAATGTATATAAATTGAAATACTTTTTAAAAAGACATATTTATATTGCCTACTGTAGATTGCAGCATAGTGATTAGGGAAGCACTTCATCCAGGACGTTTTAACTTGTTTTGCCAGAAAGCCAAAAAATCATAAAGGGATGCCACGGTGTCCTTGTTCTGTAATGGATGAGGCTGTTAAATATCTTGACCTTTAATCTTCTTCCATGCTCTTATCACTTTGTATCTGAGCACCTGAAACAAGGTGCATGAATTTATTGCAAGACAAAAGTTACTTGTTGAACTGTCTTCACAGAGAGTACCTTTGCTGAACAAACTACCAAGAGTAGAAAGGAATAAAAGAATTGCGGTTGCAAGTATTGCTCGCACTTCACACGGGGAGCCGATAGCTTGCTGTTCTTTGCTGCGCTTGGAGCTTGTTAAACTTTAGCCTGAG